ATAATATACCAGTATACAGTGTGTCTCCGGATTGGATTTCCATTAGTAATTTTTTTTAGACCTAATACAGCTAAACCGAGCACGGATTTGGAATTTACGACCAAAAATTATGTTTACGTGTCCGAGCGTTTAGCTGTGATATTTCAAAAGTTATAAATTTACCTACAGTGTTATTTTGGATTTCTTCGAAGCACATTTTTCAAATTGTGGAATCCCTATTTTTGTATGGCTTATTGTCCCTTTTAAACCACTTTTTAATGAAGTTTGTTCTACGAGCCCTAACAACTTAATGTTCAAAAGATACCAATTTTAACTCAAATAGTTACTCATTTCTCATTAAAGAAATATTATTTAAGTTTAAAATTAAATTAAAATATTTTTACACGCTTAGAAGTCACACATAAAAAAATATTATTTTATTTAAATAAAAATTAAAAATAAACAAATAAAAAATTAACAAATTATGTTGGCAACTTAAAGTTCGGACGACTAACGTTTTTAATTTATTGTCATCAAAGTAAAAATGGCCCGTGGTAAGGCTACTTCTAAAGAAATTTTAAAAATTGTAATAAAACAGTACCATGAAGGAAAGAGCATGGAAACTATTGGAATTAAATTAAATTTGGTGAAATCTACAATAAGAAACATTATAAAATGTTACGGGAAAACCAGTGGTTACAAAATTCGGGGTAAAAAGAATAACGGGTAGCCAAGAAAAGTGTTCCCTAAAATAAGGAGGCAGCTCGTTAGGATTTGCAAAAATAATCGAAGATCCACTTTAAGGGAAGTAACGGCACGCCGCGGCGGAAAACAGGCTAAACATTTCGCAAGAGTGTTGTAGACAGTGGATTCATAAATCCGGACTAAGTTTTTATAAGATATAAAAAAAGTATTAGTTTTTATAAAGAATAAAACAAAAATCTATTTAAACTTTATGAATTATTTAATTAAAGGCAAAACAAAAACCGCTATTAATAAAGTTATAAAGTGCTCTTTTAGTTCCACCCTTACATCCAAACTAAGATGTCCCATAAGCCAACTAAATGGCTTGTGCGGGTTAGGGGTAGGAACGGACCGACGGCTTAAAGTCCCCTCCGAAGGACTATACACAATGGACAAACACAACCAAACAACCATACCCAAGTGGGATTCGAACCCACGACCTCTCGGCTCGTACCCAGGAGCTCTGACCACTACACCACCGAGGCCGGTATTAATAAAAGCACATAAGAAAAACCATCCAATTTGGGCTAAGTCTAAATTGCACCGGACAGCAGAAGACTGGGTCAAAGTCGTATTTAGCGATTTATCCAAATTTGACGTGTGTAGGTGATTGTAGAAAACGAATTATTAATATTATAAGGGCATCTAATTTTTCCGAAAAAAATAGAAAAAACACGTTGCTAAGTAATATTTTAACAAGAAGCATGAGTGCTGGGGGTAACAAAAATCAGAGTCGAAGAAGAGGATTTTTGCACCTGCACGAATGCATTTTGTTCAAAAATATTACTTAGCATTGTGTTTTTTCGATTTTTTTCACACGAAAAATTAGATGCCTGAATGGTATTTGACAAGACTATTTCATGAGTAACAGTTAACAATTAAAATATAAATTGCAATTTTTGGTGACAACAGCTGTCAAGTTTTGCCGCGGGTAAACTGCATACAGTTTTTTCACCTAGAAACCATTTGTAATTCAAAATTGCGCGTTTGTGATTGGTGGAAATTAAGACGAGGGAAATAGTCGGGATAAACAGCATACCATAAAGACTGTTTATGAAGGACTGTAAAATTTGCAAAGGGGGTAATGATTTGGGGGTGTATGTCTGGAAATAATAGATGGAATAGTTAATGCAAATAAATATCAACAAATTCTCCAAAATAGCTTATTCCCAGTACTACACTACAGTGTAGAAGATCTTTATCCCCATGGTAATTTTATCATTCAACAAGATGGTGGAGCATCAAGCCCCACTGCAAAAACAATTAAAAAATGTGAAACAGGAGTTTTAAAACCAAAATTAAAAAATAAATTCATAGGATATTAAAGTTTTGGTGTTATAAATCGATAAAAAATATCTATTAAATTGTAAAAAAAATTATGGCTAATATAGTTGACACGGCGAATGTTTCAAAATGCGTCATCAAATTCTGAACCAAGCACAGATATTACAATTATTATTGTTTTCTTTGACATATACATTCCAAGGAACCGCTAGGTTAACCGTATGTCGAGAAATCGACAATTAACAATTAAAAAGGTTTAAACGTCAATTAAATTCTTTGTATTTTTAGAAAGACAAAATACGTATTTTGCAATAAAAGACAAAGTGAAACAAGAATGGCAATATTTTTCTTTTACAATTTCTACACCTATCATACTTACAATTCTTTCTAACTTACTTTTACTCCTTAAATATTTTTTAAAAATATTTACTTCTTAAGTGCTATTGTAAAATGTCGTATATAAAGTCGTTTTTAACATTTTTTCGATTCGATTTTTCAAGCATCCCAAATACGAGTCATCGATATGGTATTTTTTAGCAAACATTGCTTAGCAAATAAATAATCTAAAACAAAAAAAAATAATTTGAATTTGGCAACGCCATACAAACCGCATCATTTATAATTGCAACCCAACGGTACATAACATTCTCATAACATTCAAAACCCGTACATAGGTGCAAAAGGAGGCTTACCTCATTTATCTGCCGCTGAAAATGCGTATTAATCAATGTTTCATTCTAATGAAAACCGCGTGCGAACCGCACGCACGCACGTACGCCGAAATGAATAAACTCGCGCGACCTATGAAGTTGATTTGAGGTGCAAAGTTGTAATGTTGCCATAGGTTTTGGTTGAAAGAATTAAATTCATCTGGTCGTTTATAAACAAAAATAAACAAAAATAAAGGCTAAAATAGCAAAGATAGTTAAAAATATATATTACAAATGCTAGCATGCTGTTGCTTTCAAAATAAAATATGATATTTTTAAAGGCTTTTCAGTAGAATGATATATTTTGTATTATGGTGTATATCGTTAGTTTTAACGTACACTGGTGATTGTATACCGATTGGCAGTTGCAAGTCCGAAATTAGTTGCCTTCCATGAACTATGTACAGGGTTGGTTGATAAATGTCAGCACTGTGAAAGTATGTTTTAATAAGAAAATTAGGTATACATATTAGGTTTGTTTCCGCATCAAATCACAAACATGTTTCTTTACTGGAAATGAAATTTTTTGGACTGTATTTAAAGAACTTTACAGTAAATTAAAGATTTGAACCCTTATGGGAAGTATATCAATATATATATATATATTTTTGGTTTCATGTTTTAAGACTGCGTTACCATGTTCTTCGCGTCGAACCTTGATACGTCTATTGGTCTGTCCCACGTAGCTTCCCTGACAATTCTTAAAATGAATTTCGTAAACCCCTTGGGCATCCAACTCTTAGTGGCATAAATTTAGGAGCAGATTAAGCAAGTCAAAATAAGACGAAAATCTAAATAAATATTTTTCCTAATTACGTATGTTTAAAAGATACAGGGTGATAAAGTGTTACTTATCATATCAGTTTTTAATATAACTTCTACTATGGTAGACTTGGAAAGGTGATATTTTGCGAACAGTCACTTACTACCAAAACACATATTCACACAATTACAATTGTTCGAGTGAACACAGTGTCGTAGAAACAGGGGTTGCTTAAGCTTATTGTCCCATACAAACTTTGAGGTTAGGTTTTTATACCATTTGATGCAATTTTTCGATTACTCAGTTCGGCTACTATTAAAAAGGTGTACCTCTCAAACTTCTATAAAATAAACCGTTTCCAAAATATTCGAGATTACAATAATTGTTATATCGCATTAAAGGACTAAAACGTATATGATAACAAATTTTTTAATTGAAAAAACTACAATTTTTTTAATATGACGGTCAGGGCAAAAAGTCCCGAGGCTCATGGAATGCCCTTTTTAGTTTTTTCAATTAAAAAATAAATCATATAACTTTTAATCCTTAAATAATGCGATATAACAATTATTGTAATCTCGAAAATCTCCGAAACGGTTTATTTTATTGAAGTTTGAAAGGTACACCTTTTTAATCAGTGTCGGGCAACGTGGTGTAGTGGAACACGTGATGGGTCAAGAAAGTTTCTTAAAGTAACTAAGAAAATGAAATGTTTGTATATATATATATATATATATATATATATATATATATATATATATATATATATATATATATATATATATATATATATATATATATATATATATATATATGGGCGTTTCTCTGTAAACTGGGCAACTTGAAGTAAGAAATTGTCTAGGCAAGTTTTTTTGTTATATTTTTGTTGTATTTAATAAATGTTATTCGAGGAATAAATATCGGTCTATTTATTAGTATACGGCAGATGAACCAAAAATATTCCTATTACTTTGGAAAACATTGAGCATTTTCTGAAAAATCTATACAGGGGACTGTTTATAAAATACGGAGACAAAGTTTAGATGACTTTTTAGAATTACAAAATAATAATTATAAAAAATAAATAAGTCACAGTAACAAGCAAACAATATTGGTTGAATAATTAAACAATTATTATTATTATTATTATTATTATAAGCAAGAATATAGTAAGATAAGTATAAAACTGATCAGGTTCTTGCTAAATAAGAAGAAGGCTTTCGTCAACCTTGGTGCTAAGCGAGCGCTGTTCTTATAAGAGTAACATGCGCTAATATATAACCACTAAAAGTCAAATTTAATGTAATGTAGCAGTTCCCACACTAAAATATGTGTAAGACCATGCGCAAGGTTATAGATTGTTTTACTAAAGTGTGTGCTAAAAATAAACGTGCAATCAAATAAACAAACACACACGGTGCGATAACGCGGAAAAAAGGTGGTTTGCTTATTAGGTACGATCGAGTAATTTATCAAATTAACCGAGCAATTAAGTCGGCAATTTCTCTGGATTCGTAAAGGTCAAAATGGGAGAGGAGGTGATCGGGGAGCGGTATCGGCGAGCAAAAGGAAACGGCACGGCGGCCCATAGATCCATCAGGAGGGATCACACAGCACATACAGGTCATCTGATAGAGGTTGGCACGCGCGTTATCCAGATAGCGGCTGTGATTTACAACGGCGAATTTCCCTCCGAATCCATCACGCGCCGGGAGGCGGCCTGGCCTGCCCCAGAGTCTGGGGGAACGATTTTAAACGATTGTTGTTGCTGCTGCCGCTGCTACTGTTCGACGTCTAATGCGTGTGAAATTGCCATTATACCAATAAGGTTTTTCGTGAATGTCTATAAATATTTGTTTACGGATTGCCATTTTTCATCTGGTATAAAAATACCCTGTATATTTTTATACAAGATTTTGTACCAACAGCAAATATACAAAATAAAAACTTAAGAAGGGTCAGATATTTTTCTCACTAAATCCAAGTACTTTAAAATTGAAAGAAATTGCTACTGTCCCTCATAATATAGCAGTAAAATAACTTTGGTGATTAGGTTATTCAAAAAGCCAGCTTAAAATTTTGTATTTATTAGTTACACTGTTATAAAAATCAGATTTGTTAACATGAGTTTGTAGTTTATTAATTTTATTTTTTTATATTTTAACATAATTTTTTGTATGAAACCAGGGTTTGTAATTACTTTAACAAAGGAAAATATTTTACCGAAAGTTTTTTAAAGGTAATTTGCAATTTTGAAGCATTTTGTTAATTTTTAAAGGTTACAGATTATTTTGTAACAGTACACGTGATTTCAGGCAGCCAATCAAAACATTTCCCACTGACTTTTTTATCGTCATACATCCAGCTTCAGCACAATACGCATTTACTAGTATAACTGACTTCGGCGTCTGCAATATATTGTTCTTCCTATTTTATTCTAATTCGTAACGTGTTCGTAACAACTTAAGTGTTCATAATATATTACCAAAAATCTGTTATTATTATTGTTCGCCAAACAATGTTCGGATTGCTTATACCCATTTAATGAGTGTGCGAAGTGCGAAGTATCGGAAAAAAGATGCCACCACTGGTTTTCAAACTAAAATTATAGAATACAGTGAAGTGGGTTAAAGTTACAAACTACTCCAGTAAGTTATGTAGTAGTACTGATTGTATTGTGCCAAATTTCTTTCTAATTTGATGATTTCAGAATTGTGTGTATGTTATTTTTGTGTTCATTTATGTTAGTTAACAAATTACAGTTGGTTGTAAACTTAACATAAAGTTATGTGGACCTGGATTTTCATAAAATCTGGTTATTATTTGGTGAAAATTAACATTTTTTTACTGTACAACTCTGCATAGCTTATAAGCTTTAGGAATATCAGGAAGTATGCAGTGAGTGGCATAATAATAATAATAATAATAATAATAATAATAATAATAATAATAATAATAATAATAATAATAATAATAATAATAATAATAATAATAATAATAATAATAATAATATTAATAATAATAATAATAATAATTCTTAAAATATTGTTCTTCCTAAAAGAAACAAATCTAATGTTAAGATTATAATTTTTTGTAAAGCCTTACCTACGTGTGATATCTATTCCAACTCCACCCTATTATATAAGATCACTTAATATACCTACCCTTTTCTGATCTGAACATGAAGAATGCCCAGATAATTTGACATGTTGTGATTAGCCGGGCTAATGACCATTACTTGTCGATGCCCATTAATAATAATAAAAAAAAATAATAATAACAATAATAATAAACATCAGATGCGTCTTTATTAAAATAAGGAAATACACTAATTCAAATGGCGGAATTTGAATTTAAACATTAAAAATGTACCAATTCATTCTTACATTCAAAAAATTATGTTAAAATTTTAAAAATTAAAATTAACAAATCTGATTTTTTTAACAGTGTGGCGAAGTGTGGCAGGTTTACTGGGGTATACTGGGTGATGGTGATATTTATAATATACCCAGACAGCAACATCCAATTCCCTGCTCATGTCAGGAATATTCCAAGTGGGCCAGAATATTCCGAGGAATATTCCTGGCGTAATCAAATATCCGCTTTTTGGTTAACCCAGTCATCATAAAAAGAATATTCCATGTAGCGGCATGCAAAAGACTTAAGTATTGTTAGGAGAATATTCCCAGGAATATTACTGGCGTAATCAAATGTCCTCTTTTTGGTTAACCCAGTCATTATAAAAAGAATATTCCATGTAGCGGCATGCATAAGACTTAAGTATTGTTGGGAGAATGTACAGTTACGGAAAGAAGTAATGTCCATTTGAATGCTCCATTGTAATTGTTCGGAGGCATTCGGAAATAGTCAACATCTGCCTCTTAGGGATTTACTACCTGCTCGTATTGAATTAATTATTTTGGGTATTTTACATATTTAAGTGTATTTTTATTAAATCGTTAATTTTTTAATATATTTTTGTTTAGTTTTATAAACATTTATTGTTATTTTTTCATATTATTATTTTAAATTTTCATATTAATATTTTAAATTTAGGACACATTTTTAAATATTTGATAAAAAATATTATAATTATTAGACTTATACAAAAAAATCGAATATTTATTTTTAAAGCACCTCAAAAATATTGTTTAGAATCTCAAAAAAATGGTCCTGTTAAAATTTAAGCTCTTAATATTACATTTACGGGTCCTTCATCGGGAATTTTTATTTCCCATTAAAATAATATGAGATTTTTTTAAAATACTTTAAAATAGTTTAACTCGGATTGGTAAAACTGAAACAAATTTTGGTAGGGCTCTTTTAAAAGGTATTCAAGGTAAAAGTTGAATTTATAGAAATTTTCAAGATTTTCAACTTTTTCAGCGAAACAAAATTTATGGTAAAATTTAGTAGGACCCTTTTTTAATAAAATATTATCTAAAACCATGAGCAAAGAAAGCTGCTTTTTATTTAAAAATAAATGGTAAATAATTACATTAATAATTGAGGAGAATCCGTGCAAAACCGGCTATATCCACTTTAATAAAATGTTGGGAAAATGGCAAAAACTCTCGGTTTCCTGGCCTTTACAGATAAAAGAAAAAGCAAACTTGAGTTTTGTGGGCTTTGTGGTACTTGATTTATAAGACATACTTTCGTTTTCAAAAACTTTATATTAAGGCCAAAATTTCAACAAAAAAAAATTGTATATAGCCGGTTTTGCTCAAAAACCGAATAAAAAACGAATAAAATGTGAAAAAAACCTTTATTATTCAAAAATATTAACAAAATAAATTTAGTGCAAACATGAAAAAACAGAACAAATTTTATTAGTAGTATCGACATATCCAAGCCACATGCTCATCATTATTATTTATTGGATATAGCCGGGTTTGCTATAAAAACGTGGATTTGGCCGGTTTTGCTCCTAAAGCTACCTTTTAAATGTGATTTTAACATGGATATAGTCGGATTTAAACAGAATTATCTTGGTTGTCGATAGAAATGAACCCAAAGATGCGAAATAAAAAAAAAAACAAAAACTGAATAAAATGGATTTAGCCGGTTTTGCACGGATGCTCCTCAATTATAGTTGAAGCATGGCATTCCCAAAGGGTTTGGACCAAATTTGGTCAAATATTATATTATAATTTAAAAATAGTCTATGTGCCATGCAAAACGACTAAAAAAATTTTCTCCATATTATTTTTTTATTTTAAAGATGGATGGATTTTCATTGATTTCTCACAATTTTATTTTTGACACTTAGAGCCTTTGGGAATACCAAGTTAAATTATTATAATAATTATAAATTTATGCCGTTTCCATATTTTATTGGATTTTTATACATTGAAATAAGTTGGTATTGGGCAGATTTCATAAAACAAGTAATGAAAACTAAACTGTTGATGATAGTATATTATTATACGAAAGATAATGCAGGCTATTATTCAAAAGGATAAGGTTTGCATGTCGAGCCATCAGGCGAGATACGTAATTCATCCGATTAAATAATGCGCATTATTTCGAGTGTAATGTTTTTTCTACTCCAATTAAGTAATTTTCATTGATAACAAAATTTATTATAACCTCACTTTTCTCCTATTTTAAAGATCATTATAGTCGCCCCTCGTATATATAAATAAATCTGACATCTGTCAACCTTACTTTTTTCTAATTTAAAACTCGATTGGTTCAAATAACAGTGAATATTAAAATAAGCCAATCACTGATACCTAACAACGTGAATATAATAATAATATAATATAATTCACTTTGATAGGCCGGGCGGTTATATTGGTTACCATTATTTACGCAAAAAAAAACAAAAATTTTCAATAATATGCAATAGAAGTAGAAAAACGTATTAATAGTGCACAAAATGCATTTTAGTTTAATTTATAATTATTTTAGTATTAAATGTTTATATTTCATTTAAATATATTATTTTATTAATAACAACTTATTAAATAATATATAGTTTACTTAATAAGTTATAGAACATATATTTTATTTAAATTATTTCAGAATCAATGTTATTCCTTAAATATTTAATTATTGCATAAAAGCTTAAAAGTCAAATGAAATGTGCTTAGAAAGAATGGTAAATAGCAGGTAGGTAGAATTATTGAGTTTAAAAATAGATATGTTAATTTTATTAGCAAAACCCGAATGCCTCCGAACAATTACAATGGAGCATTCAAATGGACATTACTTCTTTCCGTAACTGTACCTTAATATAATTTGGGGATTACTCCTAGCCCAGGAACCAGTGTTGCCAACCGTACCATAATTATGGTATTTGTACCATAATTTTAAAGGTCTGTACCTTCTATTTTTAAGCGTACCATAATACCATAATTTCATTTTTACAATATTGTTTTAACATAATTTAAGTAATATAATTTTTAAGCAGGCTTCTGCACCGAAAATAAATTAGGCAACGTTGCGATCAGTCCTGCCAGTATAGTATTAAATTTTCATAAACAGCTGTTTATGAAAATTAAATGTTCTAGGTTAGCAGCAGTTATAACTGTTACGTTCTTTTCTATTCAATCTTTTGTTTTTCACCTCTATGGTTTTTAAAAAAATATTTTTTCGAGCGGTATAAAAAATTAAAAAAAAAATTGTATAAATTTCGAGCCCTCAGAGAATATGTGCAAATACATTACTAAAGAGAAATTATACAATAATTAAGACTGTGATGAATGCAATATTATTTTTGATTAAAAG